TTTTCTTTCATGGGTCCACCTTTACCACCCGGGGTCATTTCTGGCATCTCCACAGTGTAATCTGGAACTGTTAGCACTGATCAATCACAGCATGGTTACTTAGAGCTCGCCTTCTATGTATTGGACGCGATCTTCTGGAAAAATGACTGAACCACATCGTCTGCAAACAATTGTATTCCAGTTTTTGTCATCCACATTTAATAAGTCATCTCGGTTAACCTGAATATCGGTTTATTAATTATTTGAAATAGCAAGCGCCAATTTTAGTTATTAAAAAGTTACTTCCTCTCTTCTTCCATGGCATTCTTTTATTTCAATTTTCTCAGGAAAAAGCGCGGATATGTCAATCACCTGAAAAACAGCTACAATGAGCAGTATCATGATACAGTGACATGATGAGGTAGACCAACCTTCTCCGGCATCACAGAGCATTGAATTGAAACAACCTTGAAGATGGAATTAACATCCAAAGATGATAGTGGTCTTACTGTTAGTGTCATTCCGTAGAGGAGCTACAAGCTCTCCGGGGCAATGATATTCCTAGGCAGGTCTGAGCTTCGTGTGCATGAACATCCCCCTGTGTAGAGGAGAGAAGACAGGGAAAAGGAGTTTATCAAAAAAAGAAGCGGAGCTATCCTGTGTTTATTTACGGTTCAATTTCCAAGGTGTCATTTACGAAGCCTACAAATTTTTATAATTATATTGCAAAAACTACTAACAAGGAAAGAATACTTGATCGAAGTAGCGATGCAAAGAGGTACATACTGAAAGATGCAGCTTGAAAGGCTAATTCCAAATATGCCTTCCATATCTGCGAAGCATTCCTCTGAAAGAAAGTTATGAAGAGTTTTTAGCCGAAAACAGCGATTGCAGTCTATTATATAATTGACCTTAAACACCAGTTTTGATTCAAAACAGCCACTCGGATTAATATTCAATAAAAAGTCATTACACAATAATATTCACCTTATGCGCTACTGATTTGGGTTGAAGAATGTTTCCAGCTTCTTCCAGAGAAGTGCTTCACGAATAACGAAAAGAGATAATCAGCGTTCCATTCTGCATCTATCGGGGTAAGTGTCATTTTTTGAATCGCCTTTTCGACTAAGTATTCTGCTCTTGAAAGCTAGCCCCTCTTGAGGATGCTTCATCATGTTTGGAGCATAGGCCGTCTTTTGTTCATTTCATCAGTTGATTAGCCGATCTTTAACAAACCAAACTAATAGATTGTTTTCGATTATGACGGCTCTCACTCAAAGAATGTCAACAAGTTTCCCTTCCTCCCCACGGGAATATTGATGCATATGGTTCTAGCATTTAATTGTAAGAAAATGTAGAGCCGCATGCATGAATCCACTGAGGAAGGCGAGCTTTTTTAAGCATTAAAATAAAATGCAGCGTGATTCCTTTTATCCGCTCCTCGAAATCCCTTCGTGCATAAGGGAGGCAGAGGGGAGGGACCCTTCAGGAAAGAGATGTCGATCTCTTGGGTAAGAGTGTGTTGGGGAAAACTCGTCATTTTCTTTGCACAACTTTGAGTTTGATATCTCAACAATTCTCCAACTTCATCGAGATCGTTGCGAAGTATTTAAGTAACGCTTACAGATGGCTATGTTCTTTTTTAGCCACTTCTCCTACCGCAATTGAAAAAAAAA